GGTTCTCAACAGTAAGAGAAGTAGAGGGGGTGATCCAGCTCTAAATAGCCTCATAAGAGCACTCAAACGAAATATCTGACAGTAAGTAAAAAGTGATTTTATTAAATACAGAAAATAAGATTTAAGTGGTTCCAAGTAGTAAGAGACAGAGCAAAGTGAATTACCAAATAAAATAAAATAAAATAAAATAAAATAAAACACGTAAGTCTATGCCTAATACAGTAAGAAAACTGAATACAGATAAAACCTCACCCTCAGAGGTGTTCCAGTAAACTTCCTTTTACAGACTAGTCTCCTTCTAGTCTGGGTCCAGCAATAACTCAAACCCCCTGTAGTTACTGTCCTTTGTTCCAGTTCCTCTCAAGTATCCTTGGAGGTGGAGAGACTATCTCTTGAGCCAGCTGAAGTCCAAATGGAGGAGTCTCTCGGGGGTTTAAATAGACTTTCTTTTGTGGGTGGATACCCATCCCTCCCCCTGTGTAGAATTCCAGCTACAAGATGGTGTCTTGGAGTCACATGGGCAAGTCACATGTCCATGCATGACTCAGAACTTACAGGTAGCAGCCATGGTTCACACGCCACCTTGAACGTCCTCAAGTAGACTTCTTATGTGGATTGGAGCCTTCCAAGATCCATTGTCCGTTAAGTGCTTCTTGATTGGGCATTTAACTTGTACATTCCTTTCTCAAGAAGCTGACCAAATGTTTAACTAAGGCTACTTAGAAATCAAGCAAGTATACAGCCAATATTCATAACTTCAAATATAAAAATGATACATGCATACAAATAGGAGGAATGTATTCAGTAGATCATAACCTTTACAGAGATATGTTATATGGCATATGTAGCATAAAACATATTCCAGTTATGTCATATATAGATTCATAAGCATATTTCCATAAAACCTCATGGGGTGCAACATCACACTGGCCTCCACATAGATCTTCTCCCGCTCTCTAATAGTTAGAGATTGTCTTAACCATGAAGTACAAAGTTTTATATCCCATCAAACATTTTTATTGTCATTCATTATGATAACCTGGGATAGTCTATAGGCCCAACACCCCCCAGGCTTCTCAACTGCAACACACTCCAAAATCCAACCTGAGCAATTTTTTTTTTGCAACAGGTAAGCTATTAAGATGCATCTGAATAAATTTATTCATGACAAGGAGGCTATACAAATGCACATATATTTCCCTTGTATTTGAATCTCTATTTGCATAGAATTGATATGCAAGTTTTAGCTGGCAAAGCCAGAACATCTTGTTTATAGTTTATGCCTGGTTTCCTGCGCTGAGGTGGCTCCACCAAAGAGGCTTTCTCTGCAGATGCTCAGCCATGCTCCTCGACCTGCCATCTTGGAGATATATAGGACCTACTTCACCTCTTGATTATGGCCTAATAATCTAAACCCACTGAAGTCAATGGGATCAGGCCCTCATACTGCATAGTATCCAGGAATAATTCCATTAAAATCAATGGAGTGACACCAGCATCAGACTTGTATTAAAGGAAAATGAGGCCTGTAGCTTTTCATAAAAACTCTCCATAGATTAGAGACAACCTGCTCAATCAGGGAGCTCTGCTTTCCTTAGAGAAATAAGCCAATATAGCCAGGATCCATACACTAGCTCTACAACAGCTGGTAATAGTGGTAGATGACATGCAAACTGATCACATGCATATGTATCCAGCAGGCAAAAGAAAACAGTGGGGCACACAGAAGTGGGCACAGGAAAGCAGCAGCCAAAGACACGGAAAGGGTTTTTGTGCTGTGCAGAAAAACACACAAGAATAGAAATTTGCCCAGCAAAAATGTTGTCACAATGGAAAATGCAATAAATGGAACTCACTTTACAAAGGGACAGGGATCTGACTTTCACAGAGCTATGCATGCTATTGACCAACAGGTCGCACAGATCGACACTGGTTATGCCATTCACAGCCAGTCCCTTCTCTTCAGCCTTGCAAAATACTGCTGCTTTAGAAAACCAATGGACACCACCCATTATAACCTGGATGAGGTTCTTATAGCAAACAGCTTCTCAGAACGGTAGGAGCAGTACCAGTTAGCACCAGCCCACAGACACTGATTAACTAATATTTTATTAATTACTATTTCAGCCCCCAACAATATACTAGGCACAGACATGCTATGTGCATCTATCTCTCTGCTATCCCTCCACCAGCAACTGGGTACAGACTAATGGGGCTCTGGCCAGGACAGCTTTCCAGGGTGCGAGGGGCTGCCTAAAGTGTGAGAAAGTCTAGCACTGGCCCTGGGAGGCACAATCTGTCAAGTTATTCCACACGCACTCAGGGCAGTTATGCCACCACAAACATACACTAGGCAAAGCAGCATGGAAAATACAACCAAAGAGCACACGGTATAGGTCTTGCCAGCCTTGCCTGTGCCAGGAAACTGATCAGCTTGTTTCAGAGTGTCCAGTTTATCCTGAAAGGGGAAGATTGGGTGTATTGGTAGAGCTGTGCAAAAGACATACAGGTGGAATAGCAAGAGGTGCTACAGGACAAGATTAATGTTCATTGGCAGAGCTGTGGAGGCATGGGACCCAGGATTGGAATAATCACGGGGGCTGCAGGACAGGATCGAGCTATGCTAGCAGAGAGGCGCAGGCACCCAGGGATGGCATACGAAGGGGCTGCATTGGCAGTCAGTAGTGAGATACTTTGAAATAGCTGTTTGGGGGGCAGAAACAGAAGAGAGGATTCATAGATTCCAAGGGCAGAAGGAATAATTATGATCATCTAGTCCAGAGGTGGGGAAACTACAGCCCACAGGCCACATCTGGCTCACAGGACCCTCCTGCCCAGTTCCTGAGCTCCTGGTCCGGGAGGCTAGCCCCCTCCCCCGCTGTTCCCTCTTCCCCTCAGCCTCAGCTCACTGCATGGCAGGTGCAATGCTCTGGGCGGCGGGGCTGCGAGCTCTTGCCGGGCAGCGCAGCTGCAGAGTCCGGGCCTGACCCGGTGCTCTGTGCTGTGAGGTGGCGTGGCTGGCTCCAGCCAGGCAGCACGGCTGCC